AATGGATTTTAAAATATTGTGAGAAAAGCGCTCTAGACTTCAAACTCTTAAAATGTGCAAAAAAAAAAAAAATCCTAAACTTTTAAATTCATAACAAATTAAACTCTATCGTTAACTTTTTTAAACACCATTACTGTTCATTTGTTAATTAGTATCACAGACCTTAAACTATTACGCAAGTAGCGTCCTAAACACTGAATTTTGAAATTTTAAGAAAATTACTCCAAATGTTTATGTATAGAATGTTGACTATTATGTAGATCAAATTAACCTCAGTCCATCAGGGTGAACGCATCGATAGCTATGGCTAATATCTTATAATCTTGTGAAATGACATTTTTGCCCTCCCTATTTTTCCAAACGATTGATATCTCATGCTTCTATATGCTTTATAACTCTAATTTAGTCTTGTTTCAAATAATATTTATTTATTTAATGGTTAAAACTCAGGATCCTCTTGAAAAAGAAATTTAAATATTAAAAAATTTTAATTAACCAGTTAATTTAGATTTTACATTTGTTGATGAAATTGTTAGATTTTGCATCCATTATTTTTAAAATCATCTAATATTTAAACTTCTTTTTAAATGAGATTTCAAGTTTTCACCATTAAATAAATAAATATTATTTAAAATAAGACTAAATCAAAGTTATAGAGTATACGAAAGCATAATATACTAATCATTTGAAAAATATTGCAAAAAGGACAAAAATATCATTTTACAAAATTATAGGTCATTCACCACGGTCAATGATGCGTTCACCCTGGCGGGCCACGTTGAGGCTAATCTAGTATACATAATAATTAACATTTTATACATAAACGTTGGGGGTAATTTGCTTGAAATTTTAAAGTTTAGGATTCAGGACACTACTCGTATAATAGTTTAGGGTTTGTGGCCCCTAATTAATGAATGAATAGTAACAACATTAAAAAAGTTAACGGTATGGTTTAATTTATTATGAATTTAAAAATTTAGGATCTATTTTGTACATTTTAAGAGTTTAAGGTTTAGGGCATTTTTCACACAGTATTTTAGAATCTATTTTGCTCATTAACTCTTTTATTTTTAATTATATATATATATAATTAATTAATTAATTAAAGGGATATAAATATTAAGAAAAAAGAGCAACTTGATCCCTAAACTATAAGTTCATGAACGTTTAAGACCCTAATTTTTTTTTATAATGTTCCTCTTTGATTTTTGAAAACAGAGAATTTGACCTTTGATATTAATAAAAATTAATTTTAATTATTAGCTGACCATAAAATAATAGAAAATAAGTTTAAAAATTAAGAAAATGATCAATAAAATTTCCCCGATCCTTTTCTAAAATATTCTAGATCCTTATATATAATTTTTAAGTCCTTTGTTATAATTTTTTAATACTTTTCTATTATTTTTTGATTTACTAACTATCTAAGTTAACTTTTATTAATGACAGTGATTAAATTACATCATTTTTAAAAGTTAAAAGAAAACATTACATAAAAAATAAATTTAGATTTTCATACACCCCTGCATATATAATTTTGAAGGCTAATTTGCTTTTTTATCTTAAAATATTATCATAAAAAATAGAATACTACAAAGAACAAAACGGAACATTATGTCATATTTTTATAAGATATTTTATAATTAAGTTTACTTTTTAATTTTGTAAAGTTCTTTTGTGTTTTGTGTGCGTATGAGATTGGAGAGAGTGGCTAGGACGCGTCATTTCTTTCACTTTTTTAAATTGTGAGTTCGTATCCATTTTGGGACCCATTCCAATTGGAAATTTATCCAATCAAAACCCTAAATATATAGAAAGCAGATTTATAACAGCTTCTAGGAACTAGCTTGCCTTCAAAGGAAAAAGAAGGAGCAGCATCACTTCCGATTCATGAGTTGAAAAAAGATGACTAAGTGTATGTTTGGACGACTCAAAAAATCTTATTTGAATGAGCAAAAATTTTCAATTAAAGTTAGGGTGTAAGCGAACATTTTTCCCTAAGCTATCAGATATGGCTTTTCCATTCATGTTGGCGTTGATCTGTTGGAAAGCATTAAATGTTTTTTAAATTTTTATGCTTTCTCTCTCTTCTCATCTTTTTACCCGAGCTCTAGCTTTGCTTCACTTTTCTCGTGTGCACAGTCATTCTTGTTTTTGTGACCTCCCTTGTTTGCATTGCTTACAGGTGGCACCATCACTATCCATTGCACTCTGACGACGCACAGCTAGAACAATGGGAGAAGAAGTTCAGATGCATCCATGCGACACGAACCCACAGCTATGGACAAAGACAAAGATGAATGGAAAAGATTTGAACACAAACACACAACCACATGGACCAAAGAACCACAGTTGGTGTCGGCGTTTTCAATCGGAGAAGGAAAGAGCTTGAATGGCAAACTCATGGCAACTCCCTCTCACATTGACGGCCAACTAAGAACATAGAAGGAAAGAGAAAACAAAGACAGAGATGGTGGAGGGTTCTTGGCTTTTGCACTCTTCTTTAGCATTTTGATGAGACTTCTTCACTCTCTCTTTAGCGTTATGGTTGAAAAGGAAAGAAGAGAGGAAAGAGCGAAAAAAACTGATTAAGGTAGGGGCATAATTTTAATTTGATAAGGCTAAATAAAATAAAACGAGACTCACTCACTAGAGCAACTTTCCTTTTTGATAAACCTGTACCAAAAACACACACACGCACATATAATATCATTAAAATATCTCACCATCAATTTTTTAATTTTAATTAAATTCCAGGTCATTATATGAAAAAATAAATTTGTAATTATGCAAAAAATGTCCAAATTTAAATATGCAAAAAATTATTCATAATATAATTAAAAATCAACTTGTAGATCATATCGATTGAATATTTTATAAGTTAGGAATTTATTTTAACTTTATTATAATTGAATATTTAAAATTTTTTACTTATTAATTTTAATGTTAAGTTTATTATTTTTTACTTATAAATTAGTCAAAAAATATATAAAAAAATTTATGTTCATTTTGGTCATTAAAAATATCTACTGACTTTTGAATCAAATTATTTAAATAAATTTTAATTTATTTAACTGACTTCTGAAAAAAAAAAATTCAAATATAAATCACATTATATTAATTAACTTTTTTTTTAACTTCAATTTGCTAATCTCAATTAATCCTAATCTTAGTTATAAATATTTTAATTCAATCACACACTCAAGCTCACGAAAAGTCTGGTCATTGTGGAACTTTATCTGCCACTCTCTCTCTCTCTCACAGAGAGCACTATTGTTCCCAGCTGAATCAATCTCATGAAAAGTCCGGTCATTGCAGTGGAATTGATCTGTTCATCTCGCTCTTGAAAATTTGCAAGCAGAGTTTATCTGGTATGAAGATCAAAGCCTCATTTTCTTCAGCTTTCGTCTTTCATTTTCTGATTAGTTTCTATTTGTAATACTTACTCAAGGGATTATATATCTGCAATCATTCTCAGTTCTCATAGTATGAGTAGTTTGTTGTGCTAGGAATTGGATCTTTTACTTACAGACTATATTTGTTACTTCTTGTTATTTTTCTTTTTCTTCTTTTCCTTTTTTGTTTACACATTTGTTACTTCTTTGCTTTCAACTTCGCACTGATTTTATAGAAAAAGATTACAATCTAAAACAGCAAATTTTAGTTTCTCTAATGTCTAATAATAGCTGGGGAAAAAAAAGGTTGATCTCATAGCAAGAAATAAGCTACTACGACTGATCCTTCTTATTTCATCTTGATGATATATTATTATCAACAAGGATCAAGTATCTTTCATGAAAACCACATTTTTGTCAGCTTTGGTTTTTCATTTTCTGATCAGTTTTTTCTATTTGTAACACTTACTTAAGGGTATATCTGCAATCATTCTCAGTTCTGGAAGTATGAGTAGCTTGTTGGTTGTGCTGGGAATTGGAGCTTTCACCATTGCAGCTGGTTTGATTCTGTGTTTTCTGTTTTCTTTTTTTAATGTTTTTAAAGAAATTATGTAGAATTTTTTTTAAAAAAAAATCCGTTTGAATCATTGTTCTGAAAAACATATTTAAAATGGTGAAAGAATTATTTATTTTATTACATAATTATCATTAATGAAAGCATAATATTTTCTGTCTTTTATCTAGTTTTGTAGAACAAAAAATGACAAAATATCAAAAAGATATTTTAGTTGTTCAAAATAATTTTTAATTTTTTTAGAGTAGATGATAAAAAACACATTTTTAAACTTTTTTTAAATTTTTTATTTTTCAAAACAAAAAATTGTTCTGCAAATAGTAATTTTTTTAATAAACAAGTATCCTAAAACAAATAATTTAGGACCTGTTTGATTTCTACTCTCATTTTTTATTTTTAAAAAAATGTTTGGTAATATAGTTTCCAAAATTATTTTTTACAACAAAACAAAACAAAACAAAAATACATTTGATTATTTTAATTTACAATAGTTTTAGAATTAAAAATAGACTAATAGTCATGGTTATCTGCAGTTAATAGTGGTGATTTATAATAAAAATTGATCCAAGTAATTATAATTTTTAATAATCATATGTATTATATTTTTAAAACAAGAAAAATAAAATGAAAATAAATTGAGGTTGTTTCATTTTTTTGCTTTTAAAAACAAAAGATGAAAACAATTTTGAAAACAATTAAATCAAAAACACTTATGCAAATAAGTTTTTAATTTTTTTGTTTTTAAAAATAGAAAATAAATAAGCCCTTATATTTTTTTTTGTTACTTCATTTTCTTTCAACTTCACGCTGATCTGATAGAAAAAGATAATCTAAAACTGTAAATTTAGTCACACTAATGTTTAAAAATAGCTGAAAAAAATTAGATCTCTTAGCAAGAAAGAAAGTTACAATAATTGATCTTTCTTATTTCATTTTGACAATAATATTGTCAAGAAGGATTAAGTATTTAAGATGCTTTTATTCTACATCATGAAATTCAACTAATTTTCAGGTTGCTGTTATATGTTTAAATGGATGAGGTGGGAATATCAGTAGCAGCAAAACTTGTTGAATATTTGGTCAACAATGGCTGCTTTCAAAGGTGGTGTCCTACTTGGAAGAGATATCGTCTCTGCAAAGCATTGGCAAAGACAACTCAGCGAATGATAGGACTAAATACAAAGAGTGACAAGTTTGAACGATTTTCCCATCATGTCATTGTTCCAGACGTAGAGTATAACTCCTCTAAAGATTTTATGTTCTTCAAGTCAATTGAAATGGCATGTAATGAACTATGGGAAGTACTGGAAGATGATGAGAGCTCTATAATTGGGTTGTGGGGTATGGGTGGTTCAAGCAAAACCACCTTGGTGAAGGAAATAGGGAAGAAAGCTAAAGAATCAAAGCTATTTTATCAAGTTATAATTACAACAGTGTCCCAAACTCTAAATATTAGGAATATTCATGGTAAAATTGCAGACTTGTTGGGAGTCAAGTTGGAGGAAGAAACTGAAATGGGAAAGGCAAGGAGAATTACAATGAAATTACAAAGTCTAGAGGAACATATTCTAATTATATTGGATGATGTATGGGCTACGCTGAATCTTGAGGATATAGGGAATCTTGTTGGGGAAGAAGGTTTGAGAAATTGCAAAGTTCTTCTTACCACACGTCGTCAAGAAGTATATGCTTTGATAGATTGCCAGAAAATTGTTCCATTGGATCTGCTTATAGAAGATGAAGCTTGGGCTCTATTTCAAACTCATACTAGATTAGATGGTGTTAGAGAAGTGGCTCAAGAAGTTGCTGTGGAATGTAAGGGACTACCCATTGTAATTGTGGTTATAAGGAAGTGCTTGAAAGGAAAAGGACTTGATGAAGTGAGTGTAGTATTGCACAAGTTGAGGCATTCAAAGCCAATTGATGTGGATAAGACTGGGAGTGATGCTTTTACTTGTCTCAACTTAAGCTATGATTATTTGAGATCTGCAGAAGTCAAGTTGTTGTTCTTGATGTGTGTTATGTTTCCTGAAGATCATGAAATTTTCATTAAAGATCTTTTCAGATATGGAGTTGGATTAAGCTTATGTAAAGATGCTAACTCATTTGAAATAGCAAGGAGCCAAGTTGTAATAGTTATAAATGTTCTCATTGACTCTTCACTAATGATGTACTCTCTCAACTTCATGAGTGAAAAATGTGTGAAAATGCATGATATGGTTCGTGATACAGCTTTATGGATAGCATCTAAAGAGAATTATACCATCATGGCAAACTTTGCAAAAGAATTCAATGAATTTCTTGAAGATGAAGTAGTGAAAGATTACTGTGCTATATCTTCTTGGAATAAAAATGATGAATTTCTTCAATTTCCTTCTCTTTTGGATGCTCCAAGGCTTGAGTTTCTATTGTTAAATTCAAGCAAACCCTTAGATTTATCAAATGCATCATTTGAAGGTGTCCAAAGACTCAAAGTTGTTACTTTGATTAACAATAATTTTGTTTCTTCAACAAAACTACTACCGCAATCAATGTCGCAATTGTCTAATCTTCGAAGCTTGCATTTGCAAGGTTAGGATTTAGGTGACATTTATTTTGTGGTAAGCCTAAAAAGACTTGAAATTCTTGACATGAAAGGTAGCAAATTCAAAAGGCTACCTAATGGACTTGAAAAATTAAATAGGCTAAAATTGCTGGATTTGTTTGGTTGTACAGTAGATAAGTATTTTTGTAAAGTAATAAGAAGGTGTTCACAGCTAGAAGAATTATACTTTTCTAGAAATTCATTGTCTTCAGGATACACAATTTGTTATGAATGCTTTGTGGACATCCTTGCTCTTTCAAAATTAAGGAGGTATACATTGAAAATGGGGCAATGCAAGCAACCTATATTCTGGAATAAAGGCATGAGAGAGTTATCTTTTGGAGAGTTAAATATCTCCATCTCAAGTTTAGTGATCAAGGATCTTGTACAAAGAGCAATTGTGATTGAATTTTACGAGCTTCATGAAGGCTATAAAAGGTTCAATCTAGATGTGGTTCAAGCTATAGGAGGTATGAATGAGCTAACTAAACTCTACCTTTATCACTATTTTGAGATTGAATGCATTACTGATCAAACTACTCCTCATGAAGATACAATGGTTCTTCGATTAGTTGAGTTGGTGTTGAAGTACATGGTGAATCTAAAATATCTGTGTCATGGCCCTTTTAATCCTCATTTATTCCTAAATTTAGAAAGGCTAAGTATAGAAAGTTGTCCTCAATTGGTCAACATGTTTCCTGCTAATTGCAACTTAGTCAACCTTAAGTTCCTCAACTATTTTGACTGTCCAAGGTTGATCTCTCTCTTCCCTATCTCAGCTTCTTGGACTTTGTTATTAGTAGAATAGCTTAAAATAAAAAGATGTCATGAATTAAAGACTATAATTGTGAAAGAGGATGGTGTTGATATATGGGAGGACTTGAGATTCCCAAATTTAGAAATTCCATCAATTTGTGAATGTAACAAATTAGAATTTATTTGCCCAAGCTTTTATGTTCAAGAGTTTATACAATTAAAATCTCTACTTATAAGAGATTCTTCTCAGTTGGAATTTGTATTTGGTGAACTTGTTGGATAGGAGATATCAATATATGATGGAAATGAGACTCCGATGGTGCTTCCACTTTTAGAGGAACTTAGATTGCAATACCTCCCAAATCTTATTAGAATTTGCTCAGAAAGCTATCATCAATCGTGGCCATCTATAAAGAGAGTCAAATGGACAAACTGTCCAAGATTGAATATTTCATGTGTTTTTCTCATTGTTGATTCAAGACTTAGGCAACCATATCCAAATATGGTATGCATTTACCCTTTGATGCTTTCATTTGATTTACACAAGATGTTGCGAAATATAGAGAATTTATAATTTTCTAAATATCTTAGTTCATGTGATTATTTTTTTAGTATGCATGAAATAGCAAGTAGGTTTCATGCAATTACATATCAAGAAGTTACCTACTCTATTAATAAATCTTTACACTTTGTAGTTTTTTTAAATGAATTTGAAAAATAAGGAATCAAGGAAGTGACTTAAAAATTAAATTTGCCTTCTTCAATGGATTCCTAATAAAAAACCCTTAGTTATAGTTACAATTATTACTTTATGATTCTTAACGTGTTTTTTATGCCTTTATGCTTGAATGAAATATATTAATGGTTTTTCTTTTTTCCTTCCCTTTCTTTTCTTTCACATAACCATAATCAACCGAGGAATGAAGAATCCAAGCCACTGGAAACTATTTCAAATGTAGAAAGCATTCACCTTTTTAATTATGGGGTGGTATCTACATTCATCCCACAAATTCCAATTTTCTAGCATCTTAAACAATTATCTGTGCCAAATTGTGCAAAATTGAAATTTATTTTCTCAGCTAGTATATGTCAAAGCGTTCCGGAGTTAACTTCTATAGCCATATCTTGCTGTGAGGAGTTGGTAGAAGTTTGTTTGGGGAATGAAGAAACTCATAAGAATATATTCGTAGCTCAATTTTGTTTGCCAAATTTACAGAGTTTAGAAATCAAGTAGTGCAACAAGCTAAAATCCATTTTCTCCTTTATGACCAGTGATGCTATCTTGATTCTTCTAAAACTAACAACTCTAAGCATATCAAATGCTTCTCAATTGGAAAAAATTTTTAGATGCTCTAACATTGAACATCATGATTATGTTGATAGTGAAAAGGAGATTATATTCCCAACCTTGAAATTGATAACACTTGAGAAGTTGCCAAGAATCATTAATTTCTGTCAAGGGTTTAAGTTCAAATATCTATGTATTGTAGTGTTTTGGTTTATGAGTGCCCAAAAATTATTCCAAATGTGGGTTCAAGTGCAAGTTGGATTAGAGAGGTAAATAGTATTCTCCACCTGTGTTTTTTAAATGCTTCATTCAATACTTACAAATCCTATCTATGTTTCATTTTGTAATATTTACTTGAATTTACGAGATATTTGATGATTTGATTTCCTTTTCTTTTCTTGTACTTTCTAATGAACTGAAACTACTTTTTCTTTTGCCCCTTGTTTTACTTCTCTATTATACAAAAACTTGTTAGGAAGCATGTGTTGAAATGCAACCAATTAGGCAATAATGAAATTCTCTCTCCACCACTTCTTGTTCTCGATTCAGACAAGCTTGAAATTCTGAATGTTACAATTCAAGACTAGTATAGATTCATTTTTTGTGACAAGGACTCAGAGATGTTCAGTTTTGATCATCAAATACTAAAAAGTCTCACTCCCACACAAGGTTTGAGCTTCTAATTTCATCATTCTTTAGACATGGTTCAATGTAGAAAGTTGAAGTTTTTATTCCCTATGAGTACCATTGTCCATAACAACCTTTCCAAATTGACATTCCTAACCTTATCTAATTGTGAAGAATTGGAGGAAGTAATTGCAAACAATGAAGACCCTCAAAACATATGTAATTTTCAAGTTTTCTTCCCAGAACTAAGAGAGTTGGAGATTCAAAGGTGTAACAAACTCAAAACACTCTTCTCTATATGAAGAGTAGCATCAAAATATGCAAATGCCCCCAGTTTGTTAATCCCATTTTAGGATCAGCTCAAACGGTTTCACTTCAACAATGGAAATCAATAGTACTTATCAATTCTCTCTTGACCTTTTTTAAATTAATCTTTTAAATAAGAAGGAATAACATGTGTATTAGAATCATATATATGTATAATGTTGCTAGTTACAACTGTATAAATAAAATAAGGAAGTTACAAGTTACATAGAGGTGGAAGCACATAGAACAAGAAATAAATGAATAAATAAAAATACTTCATACTTGCACTACTCAAATAGATTTTCTTCTAATTGGCACATTAAAAGATGAGAATGTGGATATATATGTAACTTCATTTCATGTGTTTTAAATATTTATTACTGACCTTCCTTATAATATTTTCATGTATACAACCATATCAAAGTTCTGACAGGAAGAAAATTATAATTTTTTACGTTGTTATTATTTTTTTTGAAGTTTACCTAATATGCATGCATGTCTATTTTCAATGCGGTTATCATCCTTTTGTCTTTTTGAAACTTATTTTAACTAATAATTCTTAAAAGTATAATATAGATGATTTGTTTTGTTTTTAATTGCAACTTCAATATTCTCAAACTTTTAAAGGAGTTGCCGATTTTCAAACCAAGGCAAGTGAAGAAAAATAGTTTTCTCTTACAGAAGAACAAGGGACCATCATGATCTCAAAAGTATATTCTTTGTTTTTAAGACATTCAATCAACCTCATGATTTCTTTATGGGAGGGTCCTACTTTACTCAGCTTCCAAAATCTTTTGGAGTTGAATGTGTTTGGATGCAAAAAATTAAAGTCTATCTTCTCAAACACTATCATCAAAAGCCTTCCATGTTTGGTGTATCTGTACATTAAAGAATGTGAAGAGTTGGAAGAAATAATCTCAAATCCACCATCCTCAAACTCCTTGTGCTTCCCAAAACTTTCTAAGCTTGAAGTTCATAGATGCAGTAAGTTGAAATGTCTCTTTTCTTTGCCCCTTAATAGAGATCTTGCAAAGTTGGAATATCTGGAAATAAAAAGGTGCTCTGAACTAGAGCAAGTTTTTAGTTGTGAACTTGAAATCCATGAGGAAGGGTTCAACAAGAATATGCTTCCGAATCTGAAATATCTTATACTTAAAGACTTGCCTAGACTTACTCACATTTGTGCAAGTGTTCCTTTTCTGATGTGAAGTTTTTATCTTCAAGGACTTTCCAAGTTAAGGATTGCCCCATGTTTGAAAACGTAGGTACGTACTACACACACATACTATAAACATGTACAGCATGCTTGATTCAACTTTACACTTAAACTTGCATTTATTCTGGGGAAAATTACTCTCACATCCCATACATACAATCTGAATACATAAAAGTCACATGGAATCATAAAATTACTCTAATGTCATATGTTTTTTTATTGAAGTTATCAATTACTATTGGATAGCTAATTATTATAATTGTTGCCTAGTTATCAACTGAACAACCGTGTTAAAAAAAACCTAAAAGTAATCAACATTTTCAATAGGGAAAACATAATTATCGGTCCCTATAATTTTATCAGATTTTATTTTTAATCCTTGTAGTTTTTTTTAGTGTTTTTTAGTCCTTTCAACTTCAACAAGATTAGGTGACATTTGTTACTCTAATTCGTATAGTTTTAGTACTTTGAAAAAAGGAAAAAAAACTACGGAAACTAAAAACAAAATCCAATAAAATTATAGAGATCAATGATTGTGTTTTTTCTTTTCTATATAATAAGCTGACAACTCAATAAAAGACATAAAACTTTGGAGTAATTTTGTGATTTCTTAGACTTTTTTTTAGTCAGATTACTTGTGAGTGATTTACCTTTTATTTCTTCATATTTTTATGTCCATGTTGAACTTATTGTAACTAAACAATGTATATTTAGACTAATTTTGAGAAGGGAGAATATTAATGAAGTACCTCCAAAAAAAATTAATTTTTTAAAAGAATTTAAAACAAGTAAGAGTTAACAAGATGATAAGTGAAATTTTATTTTTTTGATGAAAGATAAGTGAAGTTATTATTTTAACAAGGGTTCAATTGTAGGAAATAAAATCTTTTAGAAAAACCCATGTTGTTGGCCCACCAAAAAAAGAACGTCCTTCAATTCCTTCTGGGCCTAAAAACCGGGCATTGTAGAAAGAAAAAGAGTGGGACTCACCAAAACCTCTCTCTTTTTCTCTCTTTACCTTGTGTTTTTTTTTTTTTTTTAATGAAAATGAGATATAGAAATCAAAAGTGATTACACATATTTGTTTTTACTTGTGTTTTTCTTTTAGATCTATCTAAATTCTAAAAAGAAAACTTATCAACTTTATTTAAACCATATTTTTAATTTGATTTCTGTCTAAAATACTTTTAATTCAGATATGAACTTTGTAATGATTTTTTATTTGATAAACTGCGTGTTAACATTGAAATATTAGTCTCATCTGAAAAATCTGAAGGCTGCATGAGCCATATGTTGCATTCTCCCTTGTTGATTCATTCTTTTTTTTCTTGTCCATGCATTAATTTTTGTAAATTGGATTATAAATTCTGCAGATAATGTTGAAGAAAGTGAAGACGAGGATGATTCTGTTGATTTTGACCATAATGACATCATCGAATTTGAGACTACGCATCGATTTATAGATTTAAGTAGTCCTAGGCCTCCTGGACTTTACGGTGAAGGACCAGATCCCTCTCAATCTAAAAGGTAATTATTTAGAAATATAATATACATAATTTATATAATATCCTAAAATTAATAATGTATATGTTAAGATGTATTTTTACTCATAATATACCAGAAGTAGCTATTAGCACCCTAAAAAATGCTGAAACAATGTACTTTCTTCATTCAATAGGTAATAAGGTTATTCTTAAAATACCCTTAATTAAACATGTAATTAATAAGATTTTTTAATTAAGACATTTTATTTAATACAAATAAATATGAAAAGAGTGTGTAATTTAAAAATAATTAACTAATTTATTAAGAGTGTAATTTATTTAAAAGTGTCATAATATTGAATGGAGGAATAATAGATACTAATTGTTCAAAATTTGTGCAATTTTACTCTCTTTTTCAATATTGAGTTAAATGCACTTTAGGCCAATTTGCAAAACACACACACTCAATGAATAAAGAATTACTAAGGTAATGGCATGAAGATATAATAAAAAAAATAAAACAAATAAAAGAATGAATTCTCCAAATTACCCTTTTCTCTTAGTTAAAGATTCTGTTTTTGTTAGTTCATTTCACAAACAAATCTCTTCTTCTATATATTAGATTCAATCAATGCTTTCAACGGATGTTTTGGGAAGAAGAAAGATTCTAGAAGCTACCACTACCATGTCGGAGCAAGAACCGGAAATAAGGATCGGGCTTGAAGGTCCTGTTTAAATAAGGGTTCGGACTTTGAAAATAATTTTTTTAAAGTAATCGGGTTTGAAGGCTTGGCCCTGATAAGCTCTGTAAAAAAGGGCTCGAGCTTGGGTAGCCCTTCAAGCCTTGTTATATTATTTTTATTTTTATTTTCTTTGGTGGAACACGTATTTGAAGCCAATGACTTGTTCACTTAATTCTACACGTATTATATATTATTAATTTTAATTTATTCTAAAATTATTTTAATATAATTTAATAAATATCAGTGTATAGTATAAAATTCCTGATATTTTTTATTTTTTTATAATTATTATGTTTGTGTATTTATAAAAAAATAAATTATTTTTTAACCAAGATTTAAATTTTATTACTAGACTTCTAAATGTGTGTTGTTTAATTTTTAAAAAATTATGAGCATTTTATTTTTTTATTTTAAAATATTTTAATTAATTTATAATGTTTAATTTTTTTTATTTTTTTTTGAAAAAAGGCTTGTGGGCCCGACGCTGAGTCTTTCACACAAGGGCTTGGCTTGAGAAATAGAGTTCAAAATAGAAAACCGAGCTTTAGAGCTCAAGCCCTTAAGGGCCGGACCCACTCATATTCCCAGCTCTAGTCGGAGCCCGTCCTCTCGCGGCAGCATACATGCCGAACTGTTCACCGTCATAATTCTCCTCCTCTCATTACCTTCCTCGAATGTTCAATCTTTGGACAGAGCTCTTCTTCTTCCACTTAATCTATGAGACAAGTTTGGAAATGTGTGGTTGTGTTGGTTAATTATAACATGTTGGCATGTTTCAAGTAACTTTTAAAAAATGTTTTTATAAAATTGAGACATTCACTTATCTATACTGCACTTTTTACCTCACTTATATTATTATACAATAATCACTTGTATGTGTTGGATATTTTGAAATCGTGTTGATTGATTTTTACCTGAATTTAAGAGGAAATAAAATATAAAATTTTTAAACTTTTACTCAATTATTGAGTTAATTCTTGAATTTTAACTCAAAATAATTTAGTTTCTATGGTTTATTGACTTAGAACATCAAGGTCATTGTAGTTTCTTGATTTGGTAAAACTCAGTCAATATAATTTCTTAAACTATCACAAAGATTAAGTTGTAATAAATCAAAATTTAAAAAATAAATTGATAATTAAGGAAAAATTTAGGAATTAAAAATCATATTTTTTTAAGTTTAATTATAAAAAGGTTTATACTCGGATGATTATGAATCCATACATTATCGAAATTGCTTATAAAAAAATTAATGCACAACACTGATTGTTAATAAAAGTTTTTTATATTAGGGAAGAGAAAATGTGTTTTTTTCATCTAATTTTTTTCCCTTTTCTCTATTTCCTTCTCATCATATATGACATGGATTCTCATTTCTTAAAAAAATGATTGGAGATTCAATTTTCTAACTCTTATGGATGTAATTAACTTAATTGGAAGAAGCATGCCCTTTGCCCTCTATAAAATCTAAGATTTTACTCAAGGGAGAAATGTGGTGAAAGATCTAAACCAATTGTTATTAGCACTAGACAGCTTGTTGTTGTTCATTTTCTAGCTAATTTGTAAAAACACAAACCTACATATTTGTGTGTATTGAGTTTGTTATTGATCATATTTATAAGACAAAGAGATGTGTTTATTTTAATTCTATTTATAGGATACTTCAATTATTATTGTATCTATCTTTATCCTTTGGTTTCTTTTAAATATTGCAAAAATTATTAAATGCTGGGATATTTTGTTTTTAAAGTATCCATATTTAATATGAGTAAAATTAAAAAAATGTAATAATTTTTAGACATAGTTAATGAATGTTAATGTTTTTCTTGATTGTAGTGAAAATATAAAAATAATTTATGAATAAAATAAAGGGAATATAAAAACACGGATAACCAAAAAAAAAAAAATCCTCTCACCATACTATCATATCAAATGAAATCGTAACTGAGATTTGCCGGATAGATTGCTCAATTACAATTGAAAAATGAGGTACTCGCTTAATTTTTCAACATTAGAGAAAGTGTTTCAAAATATTTTTTTAAAAAAATAAAATTACACATTTAAATAAATATTCATTACAACTTTTCTAAACTGCCCCTAATAAAATTATAGCTTTCATTCACAAGACAAAATATTAATGCAGACTTATTTGATTAAGCATAGGGATATTTTTATTCAATTTTTTTATTTTTAGACATAATTATTATAGTTAAATAACTTGTTTAAACAGTTAAATTATGTGAGTTAGTTATTTTCCTTTAAATTTAAAAATGGAGGGGAGTATTAAAAATTTAATTGCCATTGTTAAGAAATTTAAGGATATCTAGTAAGAATATAATTGAAAAAAAAATGTAATTGTCATTATTTAGAAACAGAGTTTATTATTTTCTCTTATAATTAGACAATTGGATCTGTTGGACTGTCAACTAGAACTGTTAAAAGCTCGATCTAGACCAAAAAAATCATTTTCATAGGTGAGCTAGATTGGATTAAAATTTAGTCACTATTGAGCTACAGACTGAAATGATTGTCAAAAAATTGAACGAATGTAAAACAAAAGAAAGATTTAAAACTGGAAAAAAAATAAATAGACCTTCTATTAAAAGTCAACTTCATTTTCAAACTCTTCACATTTATAAAATATGATTTAAAATATTTTTTAAAAAAATATTGACAATTATAAATACAAATATAAATACTTTAAAATTTATTTGTACTTAATTTGATAAATATTCACTTATATTTAATAAGTTATAAAATTATAATTTATAATATTATTAATTTAGAATTATATTGTGTTATTTTACTGACAATTAGACATATTGTGAATTTATTATATATATATATATATATATATTATATGTATTTAATATTATTTTAATTTAATTATTATATTACATGTTTGACCTCTCCATCTAATCAATTGGATCATATAAATCAAGATTTGTTTATTTTTTTAATTTAATATCTAGTCTAACTTTTAAAATATTGTTTAAAGCTAATGACCTAGTATCTATCTATATTCTGTTTGGTGCATCATGATCACTGTTTATATACAGATGGATGAACACTAACCATGATTTAGAAAAAAAAGAGTGTGAGACCCATAATAAAAAATATTTGTGGATATGAGATTTATAATAAAAAATAGTATAAAACCTAATTTTTTTTGTAGAGATAAGAGGTCTACTTATCATTTATTACTTATAGTTTGTGTATGCGTAAGATAGTTAATTGTATTACAAATTATAAATTTAAATAATAAATTATAAAATGTAACGTTTTATTACAGTGAACTTACAAACTTAATTTATATAAATTATAAAATGTATAATGTAATAGATACTTTTTATTGTTTCAAATCTCAACTCACATGGAATAATAAATTTTACATGAAATAAGTTTTGAATTTTATTTTTAAAATATACAAGATAATTAATTATAAAATAAAATAAATTTATATGGGATGAATATTGGCTTCTTCTTTTTAAAAATCACATTTTAAAAGGTCATGTGTGGCTTGTAGTAAAAATGATATGCAAAAGACCTATTATGCGTTGATTGTATTATATAAATATATATATATCTGTAAGGTAATAAATGGTAGAATAAAATACAAACCTAAATAACAATTTATAAAATATTTTTATTATCTTAATTTTAATTTATGAGTAAATAACACATCTCGAGATGATAAATTATTCTTTTAAGTACTACAGAGTAACAGATATATATATATATATATATATATTTATGGGGTTTTTTTTATGTCTTGAATATGTTCATGGATAAAAAAAATTAAAAATAAGACAAGGTGTTACTTAAATTTTAATTTTTAGTATGTACCACATATTTTAAATTTTAATTTATAAAATATAATTTTATTTTCTTGCGTGCACTCTGTTATTCCAAGTGTTTGACGCAAATTAATCTGATTGGCAATTGAGGGCACCTTTTTGGGAGCATAAAATAATAACTTTTAAAATAAAATTTACTTTTCATATGCACCTCTTAAACTTATTTTAATTTAATTGTTATTTTTTCGTATCATGTGATACATATGATTGATAAATAGTACTACCTGAATCATACACATGAATCACATTTTATAAGTAATTGGTGGTCTATTTGATAAGTCTTTTTTGCATAAAAAATAAATCATTAATTATTTTTTTAGTTTTATCCTTCAATATTTTTTATAAATAGAAGAAAAAGTTATATATACAAGAGAAATTATCTTTTAAATATACTACATTTAATAAACGTAATTTGATTTTTTTTTCTTTTTTTAACAAAACTAATTA